AAAGAGTTTATCTCAGTTCTGGTGGAGCAGTATAGCTGCCTATTCCCTTTTCCAATGCCAGCTGTACTCTTCACACCTCTGGAGAAGCAAATGCAATTCATGCTTTGACATCAGTGTGCTAAACAATGTCTCATATATGGTGCTAATAGCCTAGGGCACTGTTACTGGGGGGAAACTGATAAATACCTGAAACAGTTCCTCCCTACCATGAGTAAGTGCACACTCTGTTTGTGAAATAATTATAACATTGTGTGGTTTGATGAGCAAACAACCAAAGACAATATTCAAAAATCTTGCTTTAGTTCATCTTTCCTTGAGATAAAAAAGGAAACATAACATAAATGTCCTATGGGATTTTTGTTGCACAGATGTAACCATTAATTTAGAAGATCCAGACTATTACATTTAGGCAGAAAGCTACTTTCTTCTTTCTGCCCAAATATCTTTTCAAACTCACTGCTTACTCTAGGATATTCAAAAAATATTTAGTACTTTGTAGTCACTAGCACAAATTGATAGATGATCATGATAGATAATTATTATATAAAATGCCTAGGTACATGTAATTTTCCCAAATCATTTAAAATAAAATCTCTTATCTGCTACCAGTTGGCTGCCTTACAATGGAAAATGGGAGCATATCATCTTCATCATTACTCCCCATCCATCTTTCCAGTGATACATCCAAAGATCCATTCCATAGGGTTCTTTCAACTACGTCTCAGATATAGGTGAATACAACTCCTATGGCAGGTCATTTCTAATTCCTTTTTCATTCATTAGACAAATATTGCATGGGACAGAAAAAGTAAAATTTGGGAGATGTGGCATAAAATATTTATCTTTTGAAAAATATTGGTGGGTCTTGTAGCAATGAGAGTATGGAGAAATGTTAACTTCATCTAAATTTGGGCATATCATTCTTTTTTTTTAAGGTTCATATCTGATGGTCAGCAACTTATAGGAAAATATTGCTCTGCTTTGAGTTTAACTTCTCTGTGTTCTTCACAAGTTTTTCCAGTGACATTAAGTGATAGATACATTTTTCTTTAATTGTTCTTGCACTAATTATCTACACTATTTGATTAGTAATTAATTTGCTGCTCTATTATATGGTTCTTAATAGACTTTTATTTTCTTTCTTGCTCTTCAACCATTGGCCTATAAACATTTTTAAAAAAAGCTTCTGTCTTAAAGAGAAAGTCACTACCTTAAAATTATCTCATAACCCACTCTTTTAAAACTGTCTTTAATGTGTGTTCCTCTTTAAGTGTTTTATTTTAATCTACATGATACATACAAAAGAGTGTTGAACATTTATATATGTGCATTTTGAAAAGTAATTTTAAAGTTGACATTCATTACCTATTTTCCAGCTTGAGAAAAAAAAATGACTTAAATGTCTATATCTGCTCTTCACAGTTTTTTTTTTTTTTAAGATTTTATTTATTTATTTGACAGAGAGAGATCACAAGTAGGCAGAGAGGCAGGCAGAGAGAGAGGGGGAAGCAGGCTCCCCGTGAGCAGAGAGCCCGATGTGGGACTCGATCCCAGGACCCCGAGATCATGACCTGAGCTGAAGGCAGAGGCTTAACCCACTGAGCCACCCAGGCGCCCCTGCTCTTCACAGTTTTTATACCTTCCTCTCACCTATTCATACCCCCTCCACACCCATATTCCAGCAATTTGGACTAATTATTTTTTGGTTGTCTTCAGAGTTTTATCACTTATAAAATATCTCTCCTATCCATAATTGTTTAGTTTTTAAAAATGGAGTCACAATTACACAATGAATGATGTCAAGAAAGAACAAGATTAACAATACTAGATGAGGACTCTCAACAGAAGACAAGCTACACAGGTTCTCTGATCATAGTCTGACTTCTGTTACTCTGAGAGTTTACAGATTTTCTTCTAGGAAAGTCAGAGGCAAGGATATAAGCGAATATTGGGGAATGTTTCTGTTTCTACTACTGTGTTTTTATTTTCAATACTTTTCTTCCTTTTCAGATTGTTCCTTATTATAAGATGTTGTTCCACTTTAAAGAATGTTCTTTCTTCTCATATCTCTTTTGTATTACTGAACTATTTCTGTAGTTTTGACTCCCTATATAGCCATAGTCTCTTCTAAATTGTTTTATACCTATTTGTTTTTCTCCTTATAAACTATTTCTCAAAAATATGATAATATTTTGTGTCTCTCTATGATTAAGAATGGAGCACTAAACTATATATTTGGAAACCCAAAGTGCAAATGTTGGACTTGTTAACTTTGAGTTTCACTGGACAGTGATTTAAAGGATTTGGTTTGGGGTACACCAAAATAAGAAACCAGTATCTAGGTGTTTATTCTTGAGTTTCTCAGTAAAGTCTCTTCTAGACTCCCTCTCAAAGTGTTCCGGTTAGCAGATGGAAGAAGAGTGTTCAGATTTCTGTGCTCAATAGCATTAATTCACAGTATATTGCACTATAGATTGATTGAATAACCAGGGCACAGTAATCTTGGGTGACATCCTTATAATGATGTCTTTATAATGGTGTCTATGACAGATACCATCCATTCAGTAACCAGAGGGGCCTCAGCAGCAGGCCTTCTGGATGGAATGCTTCCCTTTGCTCTATGGCCAGATATGTGGAGCATGCCTGTGACTCCCAGACAGAAGCACTCCCTTTCTTGGCACAATCTTGGAGGCAGATCCCTCCAAGTCGCTCTCTGACTCAAGGTGGACAGAAATGTGAAACTTCTAGCTTCCCCTGTATGTCAGTTCTTTCTGTATGTCAATTAATCATCCTATATTAAACCTGGATTATTTCCTATTAACTGCACTCCTACTACCTTCAGCATGTTATAGATCAGTGTTTCTCAAGTGGTAATTTCCATTTCAAAATGAGTCAAGCTGATTTACTTGCTTAATGGATTGATCACGATTTTTTTTAAAGATTTTATTTATTTAATTGACAGACAGAGATCACAAGTAGGCAGAGAGGCAGGCAGAGTGGGAGGGGGAAGCAGGCCCCCCGCTGAGCAGAGACCCAATGCGGGGCTCGATCCCAGGACCCTGAGATCCTGACCTGAGTCGAAGGCAGAGGCCTAATCTACTGAGCCACCCAGGAACCCCGATCATGATTTTTTGATCCTCCAAATATCTTTTCTCATTTTTGGTGTGGCTGTCATTACATATGTGTACTTTTCTGTAAGTTCCAGAAATTTCATATAGAATTGGATATAGCAGTAAATACTAAATATACATTTTAGAAATTGAACCTGAATCTATAAAAAGCTACTTAAATTATAATATAATTAAAATATATTATATATGTATTATATTATTAATATAATAAATAAATATGGATATGGAAATCTCTATCCTTATATACTCTGAAATACATATACACAATATTTCCTAGTTTTTAAAATAACAAAAAATATTATTTCTTGAAATATGTCATGATGACTACCTTATGTTTTAAATTACTTTTTTATGTATGTTTTATACAGAGTAATGATTAGTCCCAATTGACCATTTTACAAGACCCCAATATTCATTACATATGCATGATGTATGCATATGTGTGCATGTATATGTATATATATATATATATATATATATAATTTTTAAATAGAATACAAATAAAAATTGTAATATTTTGTTCCTACCTTAACAGATTTTTATAAATGTATGTATATGGTAGTCTAAACCGGCTTAGGGAAATTTGAACATAAAATAGAGTCATTGCTATTCATTCTCTGCTTTCAGTCCAGCCTAATTCAATGAAGACATCTGGTGTTTAACATTTGGCAGCTGCTCAATAGGTTATGACATATGAAATAGCTTGGTGGTCTGACTTCACTTTTCATTGAATCATTGTCAGGTAGTGATTAGCAGCCTATGTGGAACTTGGCAAAGAGTAAGAGATGTTCCATTTTGGAATTCTTTTCTATCCATACACAGTCTGTTTTTAATATCAGCAGCAAAGTATATTGGCAGGAAATTCTATCTATGTTACCCTTTCCCACTGTTCAATAAATAAAAGACTCTAACTGCCAGTGCAGATTATATATTTCAAGATATTAAAATATTTGATGTATAAAAAACTAATTATACAGTGCTAAGAATATATAAAATCATGAGATATTTCAGAAATGATTAATAATTTCATTTCTATATTTTTATAAGGAAGAAAAAATATTTTCCTAGCTGAAATAGCTACAATATTTAGGTACTTAGTAAATAGTGATTGTTGGTTGATTGTTGTTAACCATTAACTGGATTTAAATAATTTTCTATGTTAGTAAAAATGATTATACCAAAAAAAAAAATGATTATACCGATTGTGCATGTGGTCAGAACTTTAGTGGTCTAGTGAAGCACATAGAATGCTTTCCCCAGCTTTATTAAGATATGATTAACATATAACAATGTACAAGTTAAAGGTATGCAACATGATGAGTGGATACCCTTATAAATTGCAAAATTATTACCACAATAAGATTAGTTAATATCTTTATCATCTCACATAATTACTATTTTTGTCCGCATGATGAGAACATTTAATTACTACTCTCATAGAAGCCTTCAAGTATGTGATACAGTATTGTTGACCATAGTAACCTTACTATATCTTAAGTCCCTACAACTTATTCCTCCTATAACTGGAAATTTGTATCTTTTGACCAACATCTTCCCATTTCTCCTAGCCCCTAGCACCTAGCAATGACCCTTGTACTCTATTTCTTTAGGTTTGGCTTTTTAAAAAATCCACTTGTAAATGAGATCATGCAATATCTATCTTTCTCTATCTGAATTATTTCACTTAGCATAATGCCCTCAAGGTCTATCCATGTTGTTGCAAATGGTAGGATTTCCAACCTTTATGGCAGAATAATATTCCATCTTGTGTTTGTCTGTGTCTCACATTTTCTTTATTCATCTTTTGATAGACACTTAGATTGTTTTCACATTTTGGATATTTTGGAAAACACTACAGTGAACATGAAGGTGCTGGATAAAGATGTCTTACTACTTTGACCGCGATGATGTGGCTTTGAAGAACTTCGCCAAACACTTTCTCCACCAATCTCATGAGGAGAGGGAACATGCTGAGAAATTGATGAAGCTGCAGAACCAACGAGGTGGCCGAATCTTCCTTCAGGATATCAAGAAACCAGACCGTGATGATTGGGAGAACGGGCTGAATGCAATGGAGTGTGCATTACACTTGGAAAAGAGTGTGAATCAGTCACTACTGGAACTGCACAAACTGGCCACTGATAAAAATGACCCCCATTTGTGTGACTTCATTGAGACTCATTACCTGAATGAGCAGGTGAAATCCATCAAAGAATTGGGTGACCACGTAACCAACCTGTGCAAGATGGGGGCCCCCGAATCTGGCATGGCAGAGTATCTCTTTGACAAGCACACCTTACAAATGTACATGCAGGAAAGTATACTCAATACAAATGAAATCTTGGTTCAAAGCATATTTCCATAAATTAGTGTCTGATCTTATTTTTAAGTTTGACTTATCTTTTTTTCAAAAAAATACAAATTAAAAAATTGTACTATCATAAATATTTCTGTGAAATAATATTGCACATATCTGGTACATAAATGCTTAAATGTCTTTATTCAACAAATAATCATTAATTCTGTGCTACTATTGCAAGACAGTAATTCTGTCCTGTGCTGTTGATCTAAGAAATGGAGTATTGTGCATTTTCCTTTGGAAAGCTACAGTCAAGATCAGCGGTCCTGGTAGTAGAAAATATTATTTGCTAAGTAGTTTAAAAAACTACCTCTTATGGCCTCAGATGCAGAATATTACACATCCTATTTACATTTTGATACACATATTGACTCTTCTCTTATTTGGTCTATATTTTTTATGGTTACCTCTGACATGAAATGTGTTGGTGATCCTAAGAAAATTGTGGCTATTTAATACAAATTCACAAACTCATTATACTTTAGAATATTATAAGTTAATACATCTTTCACAAATTTGATTGATTTCCAACTAATATTATTTTCAGTAATATTTAACTAAGACAATATTTACAAAATGCCTTAAAATGTTTTTCTAGAGAAAATACAGATAAGAGCAACGTTAAGTGAAACAAACTTGTACAAGAAACAGGTAAACTGGGGTGCCTGGGTGGCTCAGTGGTTAAAGCCTCTGCCTTCGGCTCAGGTCATGATCTCAGGGTCCTGGGATCGAGTCCCGCATTGGGTTCTCTGCTCAGCAGGGAGCCTGCCTCCTCCTGTCTCTCTCTGCCTGCCTCTCTGCCTACTTGTGATCTGTCTGTCAAATAAATTAAAAAAAAAAATCTTTAAAAAAAAAAAAGAAACAGGTAAACTTGACTTGTTTTTTTCCCAGTAAAAGTACATAACATAACTGAATGAAAATTTAATAGAATTGAAAAACTCGGATGGAAGTGTTTAGAATTATAATAAACTATTAAATACAGATTTCATACAGATTTACGTTATTAATAATGGAAGCATACCCTAAGACTCAGTGTAGCTTTTGATAATAGATGACGATATCATTTAGACATCATTACCAAACACTTAAAAATTATGTCCAACATATGGAGAACAAATACCACAATCACTTTTCATCAAAAGAGTGTATGTTAACACAATATTCTGTAAAGATACCTTTAATGGTAAAGATCTAGATGTTTGTTCTGAATTTTCTTATTTAAAAGAGAAAATCTAACATCCCATAGCGTCTAAGTAACACTTCTTCTTGCCATGGTAAAATTGCTTGAATAAAACATACAAAACAATGTGAAATTGAAATAAAATGCAATCCATTGTCAGACATACTGTCAGAGAATGCTTGGGAAACATTGCTGAAGATCTGAAAACAAACATGCCTTATAACAATTTCAAAGTAGGGGAAGATTACTGGAAAATTGGATGATAGTATAAAAGTTTCGACTGTGACTTATATTGTGGATTTTATAATATTCCCTTTCAAAAGTGAAATGTGTGAAAAAGTACCCTTTTTAAATCAATGAAGACTGATATACTAGCCAGACATAATCTTTAATTAATATCTTTTAAGACAACATATTTTATTTTTGAAAATATATCATTCTAACCACTAATGAGATAGCCATGTTTATTAGTTCTTTAAAACTTCTGGGGAACATTTATGGAATTAGCAGAACAGTTAAAGTAATTGATTCTTCAAAGAAGAATTGATTTTCTGCCTTCTATGTAACTCTCTTTCAGGGTACTGGGAGCCTAGAGATACAGTAATGAACAAAAGAGACAGAAATTTCTGCCTTCATGGTACTTACTTTGGGGGGGGGAGAAAAAATGTGCCACATATGGAATATGTCAGAGGTTAATGAGTACCACAGAGAAAAGCTAAGTAGGAACAGGGCATAAGGAGCACTAGTGGGGATGAGGACAGATACAGAGAGTTTTTTAAATAGTAGTTTTTAATTCATTTTGAGAACGTGACACTTGAACAAAGACCAACAAGAACTGAAAGGCCTAATCTAGCATACATGGTTCTTTTCCACGAAAAGGCCAAGTTCAAATGCTGTGGCTGTCCTGTATGGAGCATGTTTGAGTAACAGCGAAGAGGCCACTGCAGCTTTAGAAAAACCACTGGGTAAGAAATGCCATGGGACATGTGCAAGTGTTTATCCCTCAATTACTAGATCAGTATAGTAAATTATCTGATAATTCAAAAAAAAGTCATAGGAAGGATTCTAGGGATCCAGAATATATAATGCCTTCAAACCCTTCTACAAACTTTGATTTTACTTGGAGACAGTAATTTGAAGGGTTCTTATTTTGAGCAGGAGAGAAGCATAATTAGGTTCAGTTTTTCCAAGGATCTCTAACTAAGGTGGTGAGAACAGATTTTATGGGGAAAAAAGATGGGAAGTAGAGAGACTATTAAAAGTGATCCACTTAAGGAATGCCTGGGCGGGGCAGTTAAGGCATCTGACCGTGGTTTCAGCTCAGGTCCTGATCTCAGGGTCATGGGATAGAGCCCCATGTCCAGATTCTGCACGCAGCAAGGAGTCTGCTTGGCTTTGTCTTCCATTTCCCTGCTTCTCTCCACTACATTCGTTTTCTTTCTCCCTCTCTCTCTCTCTCAAGTGAATACATAAATCTTTGGGAAAAAAAGAAAAAGTAATCTACATTAGAAATAAAGTTAGTTGACTCACAATGATAGCAGCAAAAATGTTAAGATTCTAGATCATGAATATGGTTTTGGTAGAATTTTCTTACTGATTATGGCTCATGAGACAATAAAAGGAGCCCAGAATGAATCTATGCATTTTTGCTGAAGAAGAAGAATCTCGGCAAGCTACTGAAGCAAAGAAGCAACCAGACTTTTAATAACTATGATGTAATTAATATTATAAAAAGAAAATTTTCAACATGTAGTATATTCTTTATTTTTTAGATAAATATGAAGTATGTGAATATATTTTTTAACATGAAGTTCACTGGCTATATTATGGAAAAACATTTGAAAGAAGGGATTTAATGCAAAGATTAATTATTCATATATTGCATACTTCTTTCCTACTCAAACAATAGATTCCAACTTCTGAAAATGTCAGTGATTTGTATGCTACATAATTACTTCTGAAAAAAATACATTTAATCTGCATCTTCAAAGTGAAATGATGTTTTCACAATTAATGAAAATGTAACCGTCTTTGTCAAGTTATTCTTCCTATACAATGCATTTTAAAATTTAGTGGTTGCAATATTTCCACTGTTATGTAACTTTGCTGTAGGAACAAACATTTCTTTATCACCTATCAAAACTCTTCCATTAAGAAAATGAAGAAAATATGTGTGTATGGAATACATGTAAATAAATGGACATATGGAATACATTTTCATAGGTATACAAGCACAAATGATTAATATCAAAGAATATAAAAATGGACTTGCTTAATTAGAAGAAAATTTTCACCTAATTATTTGATACAATTGGAAAATAAAAATCATGGTTTATTATTTATTTATTTTTAACAGAGGCAAAGATGTATCTTTACCTTTTTTAGGTATGATAGCCACTAAATTCAATTACTGAAATACAATGTTCAGCTCCCACTCTGCATGAAGACAGCATAAAAATCTGGTATACCCTTTAGGATTTCACTTTAGGGTGGTGACATTACCAAGATCTCTAACTGGTCCTATGTCCAACTTTGAATTCAGGGAATTCTGGTTGTCCTAATGATGCTTCTAGAATATTGTCATGTTCACCTTCATGTCAAATTCAAGCAAATTGTGGTCATAACACCTAAAAGAACAAAGATTTGAGTTTTTTATACCCTTTTTGTGCCTTCCTCCTAATAAATGTTGTAATGTGTCAGAGAAAAGAATGTATGCTCTGTAACCAGACATTCAAAATGTGAAATATCACACAATGTTAAATCAAAATTTACAAAGACAATGTCAAAAAGTTTTTATTATTATTGATAAATGAGAAAAAGATCAAAATTTAAATAATTGCTTTTTTCACTCTTTTACCTTGTTTTGTTTTTGTTCTATATATCATGCTTGTAACGTATTATTACAGTAACACATGCATATAATTTTACCATAAATGGACATATTGCAAACACATGAAGAGTTTTTCATGGTTAGATAAATAATCATTTTGAAGAGAACTAATCTAGAGGACCATGCAAGCAGGCAAATAGATTATTTACTTACAAAGGACACTAGCACTGGTGAGTATGTATATGTTTTTGGTGTGTGTATGAATGCATGGTGTTCAATAGATGTTATTTGTTTAGATGTTCAGGAAACAAAATAAAGGAAATGAAATAAAGGAAATAACAAAAGGAAGAAAGAAAATAAAGGAAACAAAATAAAAACTATGTTTAACAAAATTTAATTCTACAACTCCAATTCCACATGTATCAAGATTTTGCTTTACAATTGGGATGGACTTAACTGTTCTTTCCCCTCATAAACAAATGCTCTTAGTATGGGTACTAAAAACTAGTGTAATCTCTGTCTTTGCCTATGTGATTGCCAAGATTTCCACACCAGTAGTATTGTTAAGTTCTAAGGTCTTTTTAGTTTTGTTCACATTCCTTAATTCTCATTCACATAATAGGTTGTAAAGTGGGGTAGAGGTGCTGACTATAGGATTAGTAATAGCAATAACAATACCAGTAAGAAAACACACTTAGAGTGTGCCACTGAGTGTCAATTTCCATTTCAATAGTTTTGCATATATGAACTTATTTCTTTCTACAAGTCTTAAGTAGAGTTTAATTGTTATTTTAGATGAGACTGATGCATGGAGAAAATAATTTACTTACCTAAAGTCACAAGTGCACTAAGGAGGAAGAGCCAATATTTGAACTCAGATACACTGTTGTTAAGTGTAGATTTCTGCATATATTTCACTTGGCAAAAAAATCCGTTGCCTCACCTCTGCATTTTTATGCTTCATACAATCCATTAAATACCCCTGATGCAAATATT